CTTCCAAAATGTGCACTTGGCAAAAAATGTTACGTAATTAGGCGCGTGGATTACAATTGTAGTCCACTCGTATTCAACTGTGGCTAAAAGTGGTAAATGTGGGCCTAGCCCCTCAATTGTATACTAAGTGAGCACTTTTGTATATCATCGATAGCTATTCAAGCGGGCAATGTCATCCTCCACCCAAGTTTTAATTGGTCCCTGCTAAAAGATGTGTGGATTACATATGTAGTCCACGCGCCTAACGGAGGGTTAAAGAAAAACACATTTTTTTAATCTTAAAAAAGAGGAGGCTAATGTAAAACTTTTTTTTAACTTCTTGGTTTTTTTTAATTTTCGAAAATTAATCCGAAATATTAACCTTATCTACGTTAAATACGATTGTTCTTATAACGTTCAATCTGGGTAAGAAAAAAATTTATTTCCTTCTAATCCTATTTTTTCGACTGTTAGGATCTCGTAACCCCTTAAGCAAAACTAAAATTATTTACGTAATTTGAGTTCTGCTTTAAATAAATCGCGTCTTTGAGTGATTTAAATAATTTGTAATTAAAAGTAAGATTAATCAAGCAGTGGGACAGCCCTAATAATAAGCTCTGAATAAATACTACATAGCACTGCTTGGAATCAAAACTTTCATTTGAAGGACCGCCTAAGCGCAAAGTTAGTTCCAAACCTTAGAGAAAATTAATATTCGTAAAGCTCGTTTTAGCACTTGCAATGAAAATTACCCCTTTTGGTAGCTTTTAAAGCACAAGCTCCACATTTTACTACTCACAAAGCTCCTTTGAGGAGCAACGCGAACACATTGTCGCTTTGACAGCTCAACAGCTGATGCACTCCATGCGAAAATAAAACAAACACCTATAGGCGGGAAATTGAAACAAAAAAACACACGAAGAGCACCCAGAGTCAAAAATAAAGCAAGACCAAGTCAAAGCACAATGAAATTAACAGTGTGACCAGATGATCACAAAAAGCGAAGCTAAATTGGTTTTGAAAAAAGGTTAGAAAAAGCTATACGTTAAAAAAAGTAATAAGTTATAAAGAAGTCAGTGTATTACTCAAAAACTCTTCGCCCACTCGATAAGTTGCGCGATAGCGATTTTCTGGAAAAAATTTTTTAAATCATTCTCATCAAAACACACAATAACATACATACATACACATGTACGTAAATCAAGCTTATAACGGATGCAAAATTTCAGGGCATGCAAAAAGGAGTTCAGTTTAAAAATAGAAAACCCAAACAATTTTATTAATCGATGTCTAAATAAACGAGTTCTTATAAAAAAAATTAATGTAAATAATCATTTGTTCGTTAGAATGTTATTTAATTTTGATTAAAAACTAATTTTCCAACTTTTATATTATACAAAAAAATTTTAATTAGTCTTCTTATTTTTTCTGAGTTTTGTGAATAAATTTTTTCCAAAACATGTGTTCTTATACTTTGTTTTTCCCCAAAGAAATCATCAAAAATATTTTTATATGCATAGGGTTAATGGTTTTATAATTCTGATAGACATTATTTCTTCAGTAAACATCTTAAATTGATCTTCCACCAAACATATTTTTTTATAAAAAAGTTACTTATTACCCTGAAATTTTTATTCTAAAAAAATAATTTTTTTTATTTTTATTTCCAAAAATAATTTTTCTCGAAACATATAACTTTCACTGCAATAATATTATTTTTCTCCACAAAATACTTATTTTTAGTATCAGGTAAATTTTTTCTAATTTGGGTTAACATATTTTATTCCTAAAAACTGTTTTTTTATTGTTTTTTCGTAAAAACTACTTTTCCCAAAAATCTTAAAAATAATAATCTTTATAATCTTAAAAAGCAGCTTTTTCTAAAACTTCAAAATTTAAAAAAAAAATTATTTCGCTACTTTTCTAATTTTGATAAAAAAAATTCTAAAATTTTTTGATCAAAATAGCACAGATGGAAAATATGAAATATAAGTCTACTTAAACGTACGCAGTTTCCTTATGAGGGGAATCACTCTTTGGGAAATATGTTTCCACTGGTACTTAAAGCGTTAAAGCAAATTTCTTAGTATAATTTTTTTAAAAACCTAAGAAAAATACTAAGGAAGTATTTTCGCAAAGAAATGGTAGTCTGCGCTGTCATTGGAATTTTTGAACGATAAATAATATTAAGAATTTCTGGTATGACTTGGCATTTATTTTTAAATGATCCGCTTCGAATTTTGTTATGAATATTTTAAGTAAAAAAGGCCCGAAAAAAGTAGCGAAGACGGTCCTGAAGTTCTGAGGCTGTGGCGTAAAATTATATGTATGCCAAATCTAGCCTCAAAACGCTTAGCCTGGTCACGCTGGAAATCACTAACTCGCATACACACACCTGCAAGTTTAGCGTTTTTGTTTGCACAGTGTGTGTGTAGTGAACTTTTTTTCCACGCTTATGACCAGCGTTGCCACTTTGGTAATTTTTAACCAAAATTGGTAATTTTTTGCTTTATTTATCTAGTTTGGTAATTTATTTTTCAATTTGGTAACTTTTTCGATTCGATCTCATATGTCAAATAGGTCAATATACGTTCTGATTCCACATTAGTAAGTGGCCCGTAAGCATTTCCTTTTATAGAAATACCAAGTAATCCTGAAGGTTTCGCAAGGCGAAAGTTGTTCAAGCATTCCTTGGCTACTAGAATGATGTGATCTTTAACAAACTGCTTGACAGTGGCTATTGCTAAGTATATCCACCGCATCCTTTCCTGGAAGGTTTCCTTTCGCTGTCAGTTCGTCAGCTTTGCAATTACTATCAATTTACCGGTGTACCCGCAAACCATATATATGAGTAGAATTGTACGTAAATATGTATGTTCTCATTCAAAAAGCTACGACATTCAGCGGGGGACTTCACTCTGTGTGAGTCGAAAGCTTTCCTTCAAGCGTTGAATTTTTGATGTATTTTCTTGTCACTTGTTTACATACAGTGGTCGAAAAAATTATAGCCGCACCATATTTTGAGAACTTTTAACATATTACAAAAACATACCAAACTTATTTTATGTGCAGAACTGTACAAACATACATATCCAGCCCTAACTTCCAAAATAACGTAAGCGACATATTTTTCAAAATTTTATTTTTGACGCAGAGAAAAGAAAATTTAAAAAAAAAAAATGTCGCTTACGTTATTTTGGCGGTTAGGGCTCGATATGTATGTTTGTACAGTTCTGCACATAAAATAAGTTTGGTAATTTTTTGTTGAATTTGGTAACTTTTTTCGGTGATTTTGGTAAATAATAAAAAAATTGTGTGGCAACACTGCTTACGACTGCTTGCAACTGAATGCTCGACAACGTAGGACGCCAGTTGCACGAGTTGTGGCGTTGGTGTCGGTGTCATGCAGTGACGTGACGCATTCAAAGCGACAAGAGCCATAGATAGCGCCTCCCCCCACCTAACAGCTATTGTGACTTCGACTCTTAACAGAGGTGGTGGGGCCTTTGAGGCTCTCTCTTTTTACTTTTACTACACACTTTTATCGTGTTTGCGGGTAAGCCCCTTTGTTTTTGCTTGACTTCCTTTGCCTTTGTCTTTTGACCATGTTCAAGTTGATTTGTGGTTGAGAGTTGCTTTGTGTTAATATACAAACGAGTATGGAAGTGAGTGTGACACAATCGTGACAGGTGAACAAAATAACAAAGGCGAAAAAAGCAAATTATTAAAAACTACTCCTACGCCGACGGGTGAAATGTGAATTAATTGTTTTTAACTGTGAAGTCGAGCAACACCGGGGAAGTTTTTGTGGAAAAAAATGTACTCAAACGAATGTGTGAGCTGTGTGGCTCATAAAAGTATGCAATGAAAAATTACGGCCCGAGAAATTGATTAGCCTTAATTGATGGTGCTTGACGAGTGTACGTACTGGGACTTGTTTTGAAGTGGCTTTGCAGTTAGTGGTGTATGTACGTTTGTGTCACTGTGCAAGTGTTTGGGGCAAAAAAAAAATTGCCAAAAGTTGTGTATAAATGACAGAAACTTTGTAAATAGCTGTTAAAAACTTGTTTTCCTGTAGCATATGTAATTCTTAAAGCATACTTTGTGGAGCTCAATAGCACCAAGCCACTATGAAATCCTTGACCTGAGCCAATGCCATCGCTGAAAACTTTAACAAACTCAGCAAGTCATAGCAATGGCGGCGAGACAAGTTCATGTAACACCAGCGACAACAACAATAACAAAAAGAGCTATAATGCAACAACAATAACAATGACAAATGCGAAAACAAATACTTCGTGTTGCACTTAAGAGAAACGAATAAAGAATCATCAATGTTTAAACTACAGTTATTCTATGAAAAACGACGATTTCCTGCGCAAATATTATCCTGCAGCAGAAGAAAATTTCGCACATTTCTATGCAAATGGATGCGCGTACGTGGCGGCGTTGCGGTTGCTGCATTTGTTGTGGAAAATTTGAGGCACACAGGGCTTACATAAAAAAAAATAACAGCAAATTAAATGCAATACAAACAGCAAAAGCCACTATAACAACAACAACAACAACAACAACAACAACAGCAACGGCAACCCAGCAGTTAGCGTTTACGCTAAAAACAAAAGCGCACAGCAACCACAACAACAGCGCAGCAGCTGTGCGTGTAATAAGTTTAGCATACCAACAACGAAAAGCGGCGGGGAGATTGGCTTGTCAAAGGAAGAATAAGTGGCCACAAACACAGCTGACTTTTGCGGCAGCAACCGGAAGCTGTAACCATAGCCGGATCAACGTTACCCGATCCCACCTGACAAGCGTTCGTTTCACTTTAACTCTGATTTCCTATGCTAATGTTGCGTTTGTTATTTTTGCCCTAACGGAGTTACACTTTGCTGGCAGCTATAATCCAAACGTGGTAGTAGCTTTTGCGGCAACAGCAGCGGCAGGAGCAACCATTCAACAAACTCAAACGCATCTACCAGCAGCCAATTTTTTAGAATTTGTTGTTGGAAGCGAACATTTGCCACAGCATTTCGCACCGTTAACAACAATGGGCTCCTGTTTCGGGCGTTGTATGGCAAAGGATGCACTTGGCGGCGGCAGCGGCAGCTCGACCAGCACCACCACCGCAACATCCTGTTTGTGGTAAGTGACGCGCGTTTGGGCTTAATTAAAATCTAATTGCATTGGTTGGGTATAATATGGCTGCTCCGCAACGTGCTCGTATAGATGCAAATTGATGTACGCTTAAACATGCAAACATACATACACATAAATACAAATGTATGAGTGTTTAAAATTGCGCTGTGTGCACGCCAAATTGGTAGAAAATTTAATTTTCTCTAATTCAGCAAAAGTATTGTTATAATACATGCACCCATACATTCATTTATGATCTATAAGCAACTTAGTCCTCGGTGTAGGTAAAATTTGCGTTAACCCAGTATGAAATCTGTAGTTTCTTCTTGTGTAACCCAGCAGAAAATGTGCAATTACTTCTTGTATGTAAAGATGAGCATTTTTGGACCAGCACAGGGCTATTGCAGGACCATTTCGATACTGGTTTTCGACTAATTGGGGACCACTTCAGCACTAGTTCGGGATCATTTCGGAACCTGTTCAGAACTATTTCAGGGCCATTTAGGGACTATTTGGGGATCATTTCGGCACCGTCTTGGGACAAGATCAGGACCATTTCACGACTAGTTCTCGGTTATTTGAGAACCAATCTGGGGCTATTTCAGGTCCATTACGGGATAGTTGCGACTATTTCTGGACTATTTATGGAACATATCGGTATTATCTCGCGAGCATTTCGGGACTAGTTCGAGATCATTTTGGGACTACTACGGAACCATTTTGGAACCATTTGTGGACTTCTTGGTTATCATTTCAGAGCAAGTTCTCGATATTTTCACTTCTAGACTACTTCAGGGCAATTTTAGGACTATTTTAGGATCACTTCAGACTTGTTCGGAATCGTTTCGGGACCAGTTCAGAACTTTGTTAGGGTCATTTCGTGATAATTTCGCGGCCAGTTCACGGCTATTTTAGGAATATTTCAGGTCCACTTCGGGATAGTTCACTGCAATATTAGGCCCCTTTCAGACCTATTTCAGGTCCATTTCGGAACCGTTTCGGGACTAATTACGGCAATTTGCGGACCATTTCGGGACTAGATTAGGACCATTTCAACACTACCTCCCGGCTATTTGAGGATAATTTTGGGGCTATTTCAGACCCATTTCGGGATGATTCACGAATATTTCAGGACTATTTAGGGAACATATCGGTATAAGCTGCGGACGATTTCGGGACTAATTCGAGTTCGTTTTCAGGTAGTAAAGGCCCATTTCCGGACCGTTTCAAGACTTGTTGGAGAAAATTTCGGTACAACTTAACGACTTTTTCAGAACCACTTTAGGACTGCATCAGGAAAGTTTTAGGTCTAATATGACAAACAGCGTTGCCATTTTAGCCGTTTTCCGGCTAGATTTAGCCGGTTGCGATAGCAAACAGCCGGAAAAAATTCGATTTAACCGGCAGCCGATTTGTTAGCCGTTTTGCAAAAAAAATTAGCCGTTTTTAGGCGATTTTGCTCTTTGCCTTATTTTATTAAAATTCAAATATACAAGTTTTTATTTTTACAAATTTAGTGCTCCAAAATCTATTAGAAATGGTCTTATCTCTGAGAAAATTTTCATGTCGGACTGTGTTATATAAAATTGAAAAACAATCAGATAGTGAGCCGATTTCAATGTTGTTTGTTTTAAGCGAGTGACCCAAATATACATAAACTGGGACGCGTCATTTTAGCAGATTAAAAAGTTACAAGTTTTCTGAAATTTTGCAGAATTTTCATAATTTTTACACCAAGTGTGAAATCTGTTTGTAGTATATGTTGTTTGTTAAGTAATGAGCTACATATTCATAAAAAATAATAAATATTAAATAAACTAAAAAAAAATAGGCAAAACTTGCTTCAATTTTGCGTCCCAGTTTATATTTGGGAGAACGTAGCGGGAATTTTCTTCATAAAATTTTTGTTATGAATGTCTTAAATTTAAGTGTGAAGTTTTATTCGCTACACTTAGAAAATAAAAGAGCACGAATTTCGATGTGGAGCAAAACTCTCTGGGAAGACAATACATGGTGCAAAAATACTTTTTAAATTTTATAAAATAAAACTGCAGTAGTTTTCATCTTATGTGGATAAATCTTGTGACAAATACATAGTTTCGTGCTTATATTTTTGTATATATATTTTTAGCAGCACCACATCTTTATCAGAGAATTCCTAGAATCCAAAAATCGGTACTGTTACAAGTTGCAGGCATCATTTTAACTCGACTTCTTTCCTGTCCCACGGATAATGGTACATCTTTCAGAGATTTAAAGATATTTTGCGTCAGCAATTTGTTATCAACCTACGTACCCTACCTCGGAAAAGCAAAAACTTTATATTTGAACGTTTGCTCAGGTGTACCGAATTCTGGCAGTTTGGAAACGCGCAACACTTTTAATATTTTGATCGAACTTCACTAACTTCAAATTTTTTTCTACTTGTGTTAAAAGTGAAGTGGTCGGCAACAACAGCGAATGTCAATAAATTAAACTACCTTCTGCTTTCACAGCTTTACGTGTTCATTTCTCAAAATATTGCCCTCCGACTAAGCAAAAGTGCCATACTCTCAGCTAATATAGCTATTTTGCGGGACAAAAATCTAATATTTATAAGAAGGCAAAATTGTTTAATAGAAAAGAAAACGCCATAACTTTGTAATTTATCTCTGTTTTTATATTTAAGTAATACAAACATGACTTCTGATGTAAAGCTTAGCTACGTATAACGACAGTTTCCTTTGTTAAACAAAAATAAAGTGGTGTACAGCTTAGCTACGTATAAATAATCTTTATTAACCAAAAAAATTCAACGGATTTACTAGTCTTTCTAATTGTAGTTTATGTATTTAAAAAAATTTAATTCTGGTTGAAACATTTTAGCCGTTTTTAGCCGTTTTTTTTGTCCAATCTAGCCGGTCGCCCTGAAAAGTTCTGGCAACACTGATGACAAACTACTTTGGGGTAGTTCGAAATCAGTCACAAAATGAACCTGAAATAGTCCTGAACTATTCGCGAAGTGGTTAGAATAAAATCGCCCACTGGACCCGACAAAATGGATAAAATGTAATGAAATTAATGTTCAATTTGTAACCAAACCTATTTATATATGCATGTATGTAGCTGAATCGTCCAATGATTTCCACAACTGTTACTCACGCGTTCTTTATATACTCAGAGACTAGTCCGAGTGCAGTACATTTGGGTATTTATTACCCAATTAATCAAATACATTTCTAATGGGGCGGGAGTATTCGCCCAGCAAGCTTACTATCACCGGTTCGAATCGCACCTACCTGGAACTAGTTTCTTTTCATATTAGTTTGGGTATAAAGGGGAACACTTACTGTCTTCATAGGACATGCGCGAACAAAACTGAACAGTTCATTCCATATAAAGAAATCAAAAGTTGTATCGCATTTCGCATCGCAGATCAAATATAATTCGAAATGTGTTTGTGTGCCTATCTACCCCAGCTGCTCGACCTTTATTCCCATGGCCACAAAGTAATATGATGACTTCACAAGTACCCCCCTTACCTTCTGGCTTTTCTGTTACTTTGCCAACAAGGGCAACTGTATATGTTTGCATTTTTACTCATCATTTTCCGATTTCTACATCTTCATTTACTCAAGCGCAGTTTATTCAACGCCTTCGCCTGCAGCATCTTCCTATTTTATGTATACTCGTAAATACTATAGATTGCCAAAGCTCTCCTTGAGCGTACTTTGTTTAACCTTCAAGTATCACGTTTCTGGTTATTTTAACTTCTTGCAAATTAATTGCACATACATACATACAGTCACGAAAATGTGCCTAAGCTTTTACTGTGTCTACAATATATTTGTTTGCTTTCTGCCCCAGCAACCACCCTCCCGTCGATTCCCTTGCGCTTTTTAATTTGTCTGCTGTTGCTAATAAAATTAAGCTACACTCTGTTTTATAGATATTTTAACTCATTCCCCAGAACGTAGATAATTGAATTGTGGTAATTTCAAAAGAACTCACAGGTATCCTCTGAAAATAACTTTAATAGCAATTAACACTTTTCGTTCATTAAAAACTTTTATTAAAGGGCGTCCGTTATCTCAGTTCAAGCTCTTTGAAGAAACAGCACACGTTTTAGCTTACTGCTGAGTCTAGAATTTGCGATTTGCGAATTCTCTAGGCGTGTACCTCCCTTCGTTCGTAAGTTAGAAAATTGGGGGTATCCCTTACATTACATATTCTAAGATTATTGCTTAATAACAATTCGAAAAGTGACTCACCTCGACCGTCTGTGTCCCAGCTGCCCCAAATATGATGATGGGCATTCGCTTGCTTGCTTCGATTATTAGCTGTGTGACTAGTGCTGGCGGACCTGGCTTGCCATGTGCCATGTATCACGAGGCAATCAAAATTTTCCTTAATGAGGTTTCTAGTGCGGCCACTGTGGTGTCTGCATCGCTGAAGTGTGTCAGAAAGTAGACATTAATATTTTTCTTTACTAATTAGTCACAGCTTGGTTTACCTTTGTCTCTTGTATAGATCACCTGATAATCTTTACTGCTTAAGCCGCAAACACGATCTTTGATGACCCAAGGTTCTTGGATAAGCACGTTGTCCTCTTCCCTTTGAGGGAGACGGGGGAGTAGTGCGGCTGACGCCGCTTTGCTGTGGTGGAGATTTATTTCTGATATTGTTTTCAATATGTCTGGCCGGACGTCCTATGACCATACAATTGGCATCATCAACCTCAGATAATGGAGGAATGCCCTCTTCGTCAAGGCCAAGTTTATCGGTCAGCGATCTGACGTCGTCTGACCTATCGCTGACCCACCGTGTCGCAGCTGGACGCGACTTTGCAGTCCATAGAGCATTCGGTTTGTTCGACATATCGACCCTTAACCACCAAAATAACGTAAGCGAAATTTTTTTCAAAATTTTTTTTTTGATGCAGAAATTTTCCTAAAGCATTTCTGCATAAAAAAATTAAAAAAAATTCGCTTACGTTATTTTGGCGGTTAAGGCTCGATTTCCTGTCGATAAACATGGCGCTTGAAAGCCGTAGTTCATCCACCAATTGAGGTTGGATAAGGAGGTAAGTGATTCGTTATTGAGAACAATCACTGGCACTCTTCGCCTGCCCATTGGCTCCTCCAACTTCACAGCCTTCCGGTCATGAGTTGGAAGCTCGGAGCTTCCCAGCTACCATGTCCCAATTTACAGCGTATCGGTCGATCACAGCATAGACAAGCGATACCCTCGCCACGTCGGCAAGGGATTTTTTGCGCTCCTTGCTTGTTTGCTCCTCCGTGCGCTTCCACTTTTTGAGGTCAGCTTTAGCTTTTTCCCGAAGATTCTCCAGGAAAGATTCTGCTCAAGCCTTAGAGCTGATTTGCTCCTCGGTTCAATCCTCTTGCTTTGCATCTTTCAGCCTATTGGCCAGTATGCAGCTCTCAAGAAAACGGTCAGGAAAAAAAAGTCGATTATTTCGTGTGTGTGTCCAAGGAATTTTTGACATCTGATATTTCACCAGCCTCTTGCCTCACTCTTTCTTCAAGAAATAATAGAACGGGTATATATTTCTCTTGCAAGCAAGGGTTGCCTTGTGCTCTTTTTTCACAAAACCGACACCTCTTAACTACGCAACTAGTAGTTACGCTTATCCCATAAATAACTACTTCAAAATATAAACTCAGACATTCATCCCACTTGACTGGCTATGCCAAAATTTCATGTAGTCCTGAATAAATCAAAACTCACTACATAACAGCACAAGCTACGCTACCACGCCTAATTGGGTCACCTCGGGCAGCGAATGCTTTTAGCCAACCAGATACAGGCCGCACTGTGCCACCATTTCACAGCAGCAACAAGCAGACACAAGAAAATTTTTGGCAGACTGCATTAGATAGTAAACATACATACATATGTACCTACCTAAATACTTAGTTGCAACCGCAAGCGCCTTAGCTTAACATAAATATCACTTATCTCTGCACGAACACACAACAACAGTGGCGCAAAAAGTGCATCTTCAGCCACAATCAGATGAGACATAGTTGAACTGCTGACGAAAACGATGCAACAGCGTCTAAACCGGCGCCGATTTGCACAACTGCCAGTCATTGTGGGTAGGGTAGAGATGTGGCACTTACAAGCAGGCTATGCTATGATATGCTAAATACATATATGTAAGTAAATACTTATGAGTTCAGTGGCCTGAAAAGGTACTATGTACAAATGTTTGACATGCAACATGTTCTCTCGCTGTAGAACCGAAAGTGGAGCGAGGGAAAGATGTACGATGCTCATTAACTGCATTGTTTGCCAGCGTACCATGTTTAGCGCTATAAAACATTGCAACAACCCCTTTTGCAAGCACAAATGCATAAACATATGCTCTTTTTTCTACATGCACATGAGTATATTAAATTTAATGTGTTGGTGTTGATATTGATGGTGGTTTGCGTTCATTCACGTACGATCATGCTAGCGGCAGCAATTTTTTATTTGTTTTCACCTTTTGAGCATATGTTATGCATTCATTGCATATGAACAAAGTGAGTGTTGTCTACTTTTAGGCGTCAACAACATGCAACAGATGAACAAGAAGCGGAACTCGTATCGAATGCGAGCGACAAATGCCCGAGAGAGAATTTCATATATCGAATTATAAAGTTTAAAACGAAGGTGAGTATGCGAATTGTCGAGTTAATTGGAATTTAAAATTTAAAATTGAACTTAACTATTAGTTAAAAATATACTGGTCTAAATCTAGAATATAAGCTATGAAGCGTTAAATAAGCATATCGTGATGCAAAAATCAATTCAAGCTCTTTAAAATTTATATTTTTGTAACTAATTTCATCTGCTAAAAACACAAGTTTGAATAGCTTTTTGGTCCTGAAAGGCAAAATTGTTTAAAAATCAAAATTTTCGCAATTGACGGAATGTTACTCTGTTACCGATTTTTACTCCTTATTCATATTCATAGCAAAAACGGCCACAGTTTATCGACAAATTCTGGGAACAGCAAGACATGCAATACACAAAGCTATCCAGTAGAAATGGAACTCAGAGGTACGCATTTTCTACTTTTTTGAAACCTAGCCTAACATCACCTAACTTTATCAAATTTTACTCAATCATATCTAACCTAACCTTAACCATGTCTTCCTTTTATTTATCTATCTTTTCCAATTCGATACTGTCA